GTCGTTATTTTACAAAAGTTTAATTAGTGTTATTATCCAAATAAAATTAATTTGTTTTGGAAATAAAAAGTTCTATAAAAATAAAAATTAATTTAAATATGATATAAAGTTCTGCTTGTAATTTTTCTAAGCAGCTAATCTATTAATGCAGACAATAATAACAGTGAGCAAGTTGAACACTAAGGTTTGATAAACTATTCTGAAAAAACTTTGTAATTTCGGAAAATTAAGGAAAAGTATTGTCAACAGACATACCATTATATCAGTCTTATATTCTACTCTAATATTTTATAGGTATAGCAATTGCTCTATATCCTTGATTCATTTTATCTAGTGGTTCTTATTCTTCATCAGCCATAACAATATTAATTTCATAAATTGTAATATCAAGAGTCATTGATTTTTTGTAAACTAAATAAACCTAATTATGATTGATCTAAACCAATTCTGAATCTGTTGCTAAACATCTAATCCAATAATACCATTTTATTATTTTTCTTATTCTTGTTACTAAGGTAATTTTTATTATCTTTTTTTTATCTTTCTTTTAACTTTACTGCTATTATTAGTATTAATCTCCTTTATTTTTATTTCATTGATATCAATTTATATTTTATTGTTATTTAATTATCTGGCTGACTAAAGTTTAATTTATAAATGATCTCATTTGGATAAATTTCATAATTAAATCTAAACTAATTTTATCTAATATAATGTAAAAGTTTAGTTTTCACTACTAAATACAGGATAGGTTTATTAATTATAGTTTTATTTAAAATGGTATACAAATGAGAGGGGATAATTTTGTTTTATTTTTTAAAAGGATCTATATCATCTGAAAAATTCAGTACTGAAAAGAATAAAATAATATCTTTCTCATTTAGACCAAACATCTGGATTTAAACTCAAACAGACAAAAATATAAAAAAAACAGAAAATCTCATTTTAAATATTCCCAAATCTTTAAAACAGCAGATTTAAACCTAAGAATTAAATAAAAACACAATTAAGTTGTTGCTTCTTGAATGAAATTTTTTGATAATATTAAATAAAAATTTGTGTATTATAAATTATTGTTAGCAGGAATTAGATTAAAAAGTCATGAATAATTTAATAAAATGTTAACCTATAATTAAGGAAACATCTTATATTGGTAAAATTTGATGAAATAATCTTTCATTTAAAAGTAGAATAAAATTTATAATGCAATTTATTATTTTAATAATAATAATCAAATTAATTAGTTTATTTCATAAAAAATTAATGAGAAGTGTTTCTGTGGATTAACAAAAAAAGAACTAAATGTTCCTATTCGTGACTAGAACTTGTTCTCAATTCCCTTCCGTTAATCGAAACATTCCCAAGTTAATCTATACTAGAGATAATTTAACAATAAATTATGTGTATAATCTCTTGTATTTATATGAAAAAGGTACTTATCAAATTAAAATTAGAGCTTAAAAAGGTCTCTAAACAGTAAACTGAAGCTGAAAATATATTTAACTAATTAAATGATTATGCGATGTATCTAACAGATAAATTAGGACTTTACGAACTATCTTTATTAATTTTTCGTTGGATTATTAAGCATAAATCATTATTGAAAACTTCAAATATATTGTATTTATTCAAACATTTATTATAGTTGTTTAGTTTATATCAATTTGGGATCTTTATATATCAAAATTGGGAATAAATAAGCAGTAATTGCTGTAGAAAAAGCTTTAAATTTAACCTAGGAATTCGATATAAATTTGAACGTAAAAACTTATTCAAATATTGCAAATGCACTTAATTAGATGAATATGTAATAATGATAAGTTATTTATTCAAGGAATGAAAAAGCTATATAAGTATTAATCAAAGCAATAGAATCAGGTGATAAGAATGGGGATCCTGATAATAAAGAAATAGAAATAATTTTAGTTGAGACATATTTTAAATATGCAGTGTAATTGGAAAAGTTAAATAAATTGGAAGATTCTGTAAAACAGTATTAAAATGGTATAAAAATTGCAAATAAATATATTGATGACCACAATCCTTAATTTTAAAAATTTTATAGTTTATATCAAGATGCACTATATAAATAAAATAAATTATCAAACAGAGCAAAACTTTTATAAAAGGAAAGGCTTGTTAAAATTGGCAATCATCCTGCTTCAAAAATTCCTTAACATGTCAGGTTTCTCAAAGGTATTGAAGAATTGTTACATTGTGCAGATATTGAAGTTGAAGTAATTAAAAAAAAATCTTATCATGTTGATATTCTATTAGATAAGTATTAAGATTTACCAATTAAAATAAATCTGAAGGAAGATGAATTTAGGAAAGAAAAAAAATTAATAAATCATCAATTTAATACTTATTAATTAAAAGGGCAAGAAGAAAATAATATTTCTTAATCATAATAAATGATTTATCTTCAAAGTTTTATCGTTAAAAAGTTTCAAAAAGAAGCCATTTAAAATAATATATAATTTAAGATAGATTAGGAACTGTATTAATATGAAGTCGAGTGTGAATAAGAATAGGAAAAGGCTGATAAGTTTTTTTAGAAATTAAAAGTCACTTTAGATCATATTATAATATTAACTTTTAAATTTGATTCAACTGATGAAATTACAAAGATTTAAGGATTATTAGGTTTAGATAGAATGAAAAAAAAGTTAATTTAATAACTTAATATCAAAAAATTTGATTTATTATTGTCCTCTAATATTTCTTTAGAAGATTTTAAAAACGTTGTTCCACTACAAAATAAAGCTTAAGAATTAAAAATTAATTCAAATTAAATCATTTTAATATGTTAATCGAAATAATTTTAGAAAATTAAAATATTGTAAAAGTAACTAAATGATTTTGTTTAACAATCTAATAAATTTTAACTAATTATAGAGCCTTTTGAAATTAATTTAACTTTTCCTCCCGATCAAAATTATGTTGCAAAAAAAATAAAACAACTTTAAGATTAAGAAGAACGGCTAGAAATTATTTTATAACAATCACTTCAAATAGAAAAAAAAAAGATGTTTTTTGTAAAGGTCACAATTTAAATATGGATTTAAGAAGCAGATATGAAATATAAAGGTTATTAAAATGAAATTTCAAGGTTAAAAAATGAAATTATGCTAATATTTTTCCCTATTAAGTATATAACTTTAACTGATAAATCCAAAATCATTCTATGGGATTAATTTTTGAGGTTATTTTATATGAACAATCCTTTAGAATGTTGGACCATCCATAAAAATAATGAATTGATGATAATTGAAATTTAAGGAGAATCAGATATGATAAATGAAAAATATCTGTAGATTTATTCAGATTTAAATGAGTTTTCATGCTCAATATTTTGCTTTAATTGCTAAGAATAAATTATTAAGATCCTTAAAAAGAAATAAAAATTTGAGAACTTATACAAATCAAACTTTGCATCAATTGCTAATTAATTTGGAAAATGTTTACTCAAAATTTCTGGTGTTAATGTAACGGAATCAACCATTTAAGTCACTATATTTCATAATCAATAGTTAGATTTATAACTAATAAAATAACAATTATAAGAATAATTTTTTGATTAATTAAACTACCACAAAGAGAATAATTTTGATATTGAAGATTTATGGCAATTTTTAGGGATAGAAAAATAAATATTTCTCGAATAACATAAAATAACTGTATCTAAAATGAACAAAGAATACTATTTTATTGGATTAAACAAAAATTTAAAGGAAATTAAAGAACAATTAACACAAATAAAAAAACATATATCAGAAAATTTAATAGCTAAAAGCATCGATTGTCCAAAAATTCTTATTTTTAATCGACTTAAATAATAGTGGTTAGATGCACATTTATAAAATGAATATTTTTAGAATATTTATGTGAATTATTCATAGGAATTAAAAATTATATTACACGCAAAGGATTAATTTTAATTAAATGAAAAATATAATTCTATTTGTGAAGAAATTAAATAACTTGAAAAAAAAACAGTTAGTAAAATATGTAGATTTTAAGAAAAGCAAACTAAATTTTTTGAAAAGCATTTAAAAATATTTTCAAAATAGTTAGAAAAATAATATAATATCATATTTGAATTTGATAAGAAATTTAGTTACTAAATTTTATCCTAATTAGAATATGGCTCTAAAAAAATTTAGCTTATCTCAACTGACATTACTTTAATTGAATGTGATGCTATTGTTAATTTTATTAATCATATTGCTGGATAGAGCAAAGGATTAAATTAACATATTTTGGATTTTGGCGGTGGAGCATATTAAAAATTTATTGAAAATGTTATTCAAAGTACCAAATAATTCGATTAAATTGAAGTTGCTGTTTTTGAACTGAGTTAATTTAGACCAACAAGATATATAATAAATGTGTTTATTCCTTTAGACATTAATGGAAATTAAGTATAGTATGGATAAAATTTAGAAAGAAACATTGAAGCTTTATTTAATAAAATTGAGAATAATAATTATCATATTTAGACCTTAACTATACCTACACTGATTGGAGAAAATAAAATTTAGATAGATAATTACATTACCAATATATATTTGGATTGCATTATTAATAGATTTTTTCAAAGTAATAATTTGATTAAAAAAATTATTTTAAATGAACCCAATTATTTATAAATTGATTAATTTAATCTCAATTTGTAGAGAACATTAGCAGGCTAACAAAATAATGCAAAGTTTTAATGGCAATGGAAAAATGACAAAAACTTTGAAAATTATCCTTTGGATATTAATTCTTAAATAGATAATGGATATATACAATTTTTATCATCAAACTAAGAAACAACTGTGGCCTTAAACTATTAAATTACCTCTTTTCCAAGTACACATTTGGTAAATTTACAAAATTCAAGAATATAAGAATTATCATCTACTTAATAAAGTAACCTAATAATCAAGTATTAAGGCATCAACAAGAAATATTATATCAATAATGAATATGTTTAAGATCCTTTAAATAATTATTTCATTATTTAAGAGCAAAATTAAAATTTTTAATTTTATATATTTTGGAAGAAACTTGATATTGTTTTTAATTAAGAAGGAGTTTACTAAATTAATAGAATTACAAAATATAAAAGAGAAGTATAAAAAATCCCTATAGTTTAAAAACATAATGTTTTAGTTGGTTAGAATTATAGTTTCAAAACTAAGATTAACTAAAAAATTGAAAGTTATAATTCATTTTTAATCTAATCATTTGATCAAAAATTAAATGAAAAAATTTTGAAAGAAATTAAAACTGAATTATAAAAATACTTAACTCAATTAAATATATAAATTCCTCACATAGGTGATTAAGATTTAGAAAAATTCTCAAACTTTTTAGATTCAGTTACATAGAGATTTGATGGTAATATTACTTAAGGATAAAAAATTAAAATTGAGATTTTTAAAAACAAGGAAAGAAAAGTTCAAGCTTAGATAGAATTAATTATGAATTATGTCAAGCAATATCCAAAGAAATGGATTAAATAAAGTGACAATTTTATTAAAGTTCCCCTTTAATAAAATTCAAAGGAATTTTGTAAAATCTAATAGAATTTTTAGAAAACTGATAATGGAACAATAACAGCTATTAATAGAATTTAAAATTAATCTTTATGGGAAAACTATATATAGGAAAGAAATAAATTATTTGGTATCCATAAAAATTAAAAAAATATTTTAAATAAAATTGAATAAAAAAGATACCTATGGCATGGAGTCCATTCTTAACATCCTTCTGTGATTTATAAAAGCTAAAAAGAAGGGTTTGATGTTACATTTAGTTAAGTAATTATATTATGATTCTAGATTGGTTTATGGGGAGATGGTATCTATTTTGCTGAAAATGCAGCTTATTCAAGAAACTATTCTTATTAAATAACTTAATAAGACGATCCAAATCATGTAGGAATGAAAGTAATGTTATATTGTTTGGTTACAACTGGTAGAGTCTAAGAAACAGAGGAGAATAGGAATATAAGAAGGCCAAACTAAGGATATGATTCTATAAAAGGTTAGACTAATGGAAGCTATGTATATATTCTTTATAAGATGGATGTAAGAAGAGCTTACCCGGCGTATGAAGTAATTTATTAATGAATTTACAACAAAAATACATTTCTAGTATAAATCAAATAATAATATAATTTAGATATCTATTTTTCAATTATGATTAGCTTATAAATTATTGGTTAATATTTTAATATTTTTAAATAATGTCTCAATATCAACCTAACTCTTCTTATTTTTCCTAATACAATTCTTTTATTAATTCATATCTTTCTTCATATAATTTTATAATTACTTAAACAGTCAGACTAATTGTACAATTACTGAGAACCCTATTAAAAAAATAAATTAACCCATCAAATCATATTCTTTTACGAAAAGTTATTATTCCACTTACATCATGAATAGCTAATATAGCATTTAAGAAAACAATAATAAAGAAAAGTCAGGAATGGCTATTTATATCAAAATCTTATTATTTTCAAATTTACTTGGGTATCTTGTATTGATTATGGAAAGAATTGTAGTGGTTTCATTGGAACAGATACATTTTTAGCTAGAGTAACAACAGGAAATAAGATTTGTAGATTAAAATAATGTGAAGATATTACTGGTGGAACTTCAAATTCTAATTGTAATGGAGTTATCTTAGGAAGGTCTTGTGTCTCTAATGGAACCAATTGTATGGCAATGACTGCTTGCTCATCTTAGAAGAATATTACTTCTTGTAATGGAGGTGGTTTAGAAAATAGTAAATAAGTTACTTGTGCTTTCACTCTTACTGGAACTGATAAGGTTAATGGAACTTGTAAGACATTCACAGCATGTGCAGATGCTAGCAAAGATAAATTAGCTCGTACTACTAATCCATCATGCAAATGGACTGAAAATTCAACAGGAACATCTTCTGCTAATCATACATGTGATACATTTGCAACTGAAACTGATTGTAGACCTATTCCAGGTTTTGATGGAACTACATACACAGTTTTTGTGTTGTAAAATGGAAAATGCACAGCAGCTGATCCAGGAACTATGACAGATAACAAGATATGTTACATTAAATCGGCTTACACTTATAGTTGGAATGCCGCTACTAATAAATGTGAAAGTTGTATTTCAGGATCTGTTAATCCAAACAATTCAAATGGATCTAACACCTCAACAGATCCAGGAACAGGAACAAATACAGATAGTGCATTCATTTTATCAGCAATTTCATTTGGTATTTTGGGATTAATGGCTTGATTTTTATTTTCATATTATATAGGGAAAAATATTATTATTACAATTTATTTTCATATCTTCACAAGAGTTGTTTGAAAAAATAACAACCTTAAAATAAAAAAAATATCTCTATAGATAATTGGTTTAATTAAATTTTCCCTCTAATAATCTATAATTGAATATAAAAACAAATTTATTGAACTAAATACTGATTTCTATATTAACAAATATTAATTAACCATTCGATTCAAATTCAAAATTATCATTGAGAATTGATATAAGTGAACTTAACTATGAAAAATTTTTTATAATTAGTATATTTGGGCTTTCTTTATAAAATAAATTAGTTAATTTAAAGTAAAATAGAATGGAAATACTCTAATTATTTTGCTGTTTTTAAAGCAGAAGCGGAGAAAAATAAAATGATTAGGAGAGGCCTTTAAAAAAACAAATTAAAGAGGAAGAGAATAAGCAAAGAAATTAAAATGTGATTATAGTTCCATTAGACTACTAAAATTACTATTCTTCAAAAATTTAGAATCAATTTAATAATCAAGAAAGCAATGAAATAAGTAATTGGAATAAGGAATGCATAGAATAAAAATTTGATAGATATCAATTGTAATTAAAGAACTAGGATTATGATAATCTAATAATTTATATTAACATTTTGTATTATTATTGTGAAAAGAGTTTAAAATAAGATGTGAATCAACTCAATAATTATGAATGTAAAGGTAAATTGTACTAAACTGAATATGATTAAAATAATAATCCAAAATTTAGATTAGAAGAAGGAAATTTTTTGATAAATTTACAATAAAAGACTTTCTAAAAATAAGGAAGTGGAGATTAAAATGAAATAGATGAAAACATTGTTTCAAATAACATAATAGTATACCCTATTTTAGATAATAATATCTCTAAAAATCATATAATACCAATTAAGATAATAGATTAAGAAACAAATAAATAAATAAATAATTAAGTATATAATAGATAGATTGATAAAAAATAGCAAAATTAAAAAATTTGGTGTAAGTACAATTAATAATTGTCAACTAATGATTTGAATATATTAGAAAATAAGAAGTGGATGACCAGTAGTATTATTGATAGTTATGTTCTTTATCTTAATCAATCTAGCGATAGGGAATATTTTTAATTATCAAAAAATTAGAGAAAGACCTTAAAAAGAACTCTATTTTTCCCTTCAAGTTTAACTACAAATTTTGGAGAGTATTAAACAGAAGATAAAGTAAGAAGCTTATTTGAATAAGAAATGCCTAAATTTAAGGATGTTAAATTTGATCTTTCTAAAATTTATCGTTACATAGGATTTCCAATCAATAGAAGAAATCGTCATTGGTTTTTTGTTTTATTTGATTTAACTAAATAAGAAGTCTTTGTTTTTGATTCTTTAAATAAATCTCAATTAGTGTAGGATGATAAATTAATAAATACAATTGCAGAAATATTTCAATTAAATTCAGTATAAATTAAAGAGCATTAATATTCTGGTCAATAAAAAGACAGTTATTCATGTGGATATCGTGTTTGTAGTATTATGAAATTCTGGTATGAAAAATAATTACATCAAAATACTTAATATCAATATTATGAAGATAAGATGATTAGTGAATTATAGAAATTAATAAAAGAATTATGATTAATATTTATTATAAATTTATATGTGAAATGAAGTTAATAATTATGATTGTAATTCTCTTCTAAATTGATATTTTAATTTCTTAAAACATTAACAAGAAATAAATAAGTAAAACATAAATAATTTCATAACTCAATTGCTTATTGCATATTTTCACATAATTTATTAGGACCCTATATTTATCTTTTTTGAATATAGGGTATTTTAGGTTGGTGAATTTAAAATAGGCACTTTAATTCTATTTTATTAAGTTTATATGTAACATTGACAAGTTACAGATTATTTGTTATCCTAAAACTTTTCCAAATAGTCTTATGAGTGTGATTCACATATACCCATATATTAAGGCAAAATTATTGAAATGTTAAACTTTAAATATAAAACTTAAGAAAAGTGAGATAAATTAACGGAATTTATAAATAATTGATAAATATTTAACTGTTAAATCAACTGATTATTTTCAAAATCAAATAATCATTTTAACAAAAATAGGTTCTTATATGAATGAATCTATACATTTATAGTAATAAATTTATTTAGTCAATTGAATATTAATCAATAATATAAATGAAATTTAAATAAATATTTCAAAATATTTCTTATCCATCCTTTATATATTAAATAACAAGATTAAATTATTCTATTTTATTTAGAATTTAACAAATTACTTAGATGTATATACTAATTCAAAACATTTTACAACATTCACTTTCAGTTTTTATTTTTTCATCTTTTTATGCATTTTATGTCTGTTTCTTTTACTTAAGACTCAAATTTCCTTTTTACATTTGATTCCAAACTCTTGTTGTTATATTTTCTATAACTAATTCTACATTTTATCCTGTCAAACAAGAAATCTCAAAATATGGAATATTTAATTCATTTGCCATCTGTTGTGCTTCTTCATGTGATTCACTATAATAATGATGGTCTTATTAATCAGATTTATTTCCAACTAATATTAATTGTGCATCTCAATTATAATTATTCATACAGATCAAAAAACAAAATAAAACCAAAAAGCTGACTTATAGAATTCAAATGAAGCAAATTTCAACTTCTCAGCTCCAGGCTATTATGTAAATTTGAACATTTTACTGTATCAAAAATTTAAAGTCTCAATTTACCTTCATTATATATTTTCGATTTCAAATCTATTCCTTAAGTTTCTTCATAATTTGACTTATAATTGTTCTCACAAAATCGAAATAGAAAAGCAGTCTTACCAACCATATTTGATCCCACTAACATCAATTTCATTACTTCCTATTTCTCAATCATTATTTTAATAATACTTATATTATCATAAATATAAATAATTAGATAATATAAAAAATTATATTATAATTGAAGAGAATCATAAATTATATTAGAATACACATTATATTGAAATTATTTCATATAATAAATTCAAGATTAATATTAATAACAATAATTATTATATATTGAAATATTAATTCTAATTTGATATTAATATGAAACATTTTTCATATTTGTCTGAAGATATTTATACTTATGAAAACTTAGTTGAATTGAAAAGAATTCTCGAGTTTGATGGATTTGGAGTATCAAAAATCATTGAAGAAGACCAATGCATCTAGTATTCAATTAATAGGGAAAAATGTATTAGATTAAGTGATCTAGTTTATTTTATAGTAAATGATGTTAATTTTAACATAGTCTTTTAAATTAGTTAGAATCCATTTAGGCTAGCTTTTGGTCTTACTAAAATCATTAGCTGAAAAAGTTAAATAGCTGCAATAAGCAAATATAGAGCATCATTATTTGGATTGTAATAGAATTTGGCTGAAATTCAATGATTAAGAATAAGTATTTAAAATTTATTATGAAACATAAAATTATACTATTCATTTTACAGGTTATCAATGTCCAAATTATGAAGATTTTGATGAACAGAATTTATCCATGAAGTCATCATAAAAAATACTCATTATTATAAAATATATTATTGATAATTATTTTGATAAAGTAATACTATAAGAAAATAAAAATGTTGTTAAGAAAAATATTATAGATCAATTATATTATGGAATACATAATAAAGATTTAGATAAATTAATTAATGAAATAGATAAAATATATTAAAGAATTATAAATTTGATAAAGATAGATAAATCATATCTGCTGATGAATATGTTGAATCTTTAAAATACTAAAGATATGAAAGGAAAATATACTATGAGAATGACATAAAAAAAATTATGAATAAAACAAATCCAGAATAAATGAAATCAACCAAATTTTAAGCATATCTAAGAGAAAACTGCATATATTATTACCTTCCATCTATTGTTTAATAACTTGATAGTTCTAAATTATACGAAAGAGTAGTATCAGATGATGTTAAGATTTTAAAAGCTTTTGAGTAGTTTCAATAAATTTAATCAGATATTCAAACTAAGATATAAAATTTCATTGAAGCATAAGTTATATAAGCAGTAAAAGAATAAATTTAATACTTATACATATATTTTTAAGTATACATTCTAATCAAATATTGATAATTATGATGATTAAAAACCTAATATTAATAAACTTTAGTTTATATTTCATAAATTTAATATGTTTTTTAATTGGAATCCCAAAAAGTTAAATATTTAGCATCCTTTGTCATTGTACCTGAAATCGAATTGCTTTGTTATTTCACTTTTTCTACTATCTTATACATACCATCACTCTATTCTCTCAGTAAATAAACAGAAAACTTATGTCGAACAAGTAGAATATTTTACTCCTAATTGTAAACAATAGGAAAGAGATTCAAATCAAATACTTCTTGATCACTCTTTAATTCTATTGTCTTTGAAGTATTCTTTATAAATGTTTCATCCTTTATTTCGAATATACGAATATAATTTCTATCTGAAATATCTCCTCCAATCCAAATAAATAAATCATTTCTTAAGAAACATACTTTTGTTCCATATTCATTCTAAGTTTGTGTAATTTAATTTTTATACTCTCAATTATTAGACTTATTCTTTTACCACATATTAATTTATTTATCATCACCACATGAAATTAAAACATTTTCAACAAAATTTAATGTGTTACTATTTATACAACATTTACTTTCCATTAATGATTACTGTAATTTTCATTCATTATTATTAATATCAAAAGTCCAAATTTTAATTGATTTATCTTAACTACAAGAAATTAGTTAACTATCATCTTTCCTCAATAATATACACTCAATCTAATCAGTATGATCTGTATACGCTTAAGTAGATTTCCATTATTTAAAATTAAGTTATTTCCAACATCTTATTGAGGAATCTCCAGAACCACATATGATACTATTCATTGAATTAGTAAAGGTAAGACATCGAATAGCATCTGTATGTCCTTTCAATTTTAAAACTTCTTTCATTTTACGATCCATCATTATTAAATGAAATTGCAAAACAATCATCATATTAATTATTATTATTATTCACTAATTTTAAATTGATGGGATCATTTTTTAATTATTTAATCTATTTTTAATGCTTATTAACAACACTCTATATTTTTTATTTTAGATCTATAATTAATTATTTATTCTTGTTATTCAAATACTACACCTTCGTAGTTGTTTTAATTATCCAAGATAAATTAATTGATTTGATCTCTTTAAGAATAACTTCATTATATTCATTTTTTTAAGAATTTGTGATTAAATGATCTAATTCTTCAAAAAAACTATAAGTTTAGTTTTATGCTCCAATCTCATAAAGAACTTTAATCCATTCCTCACAATTTCCAATCAATTGATCAAGAGTCTAAAGAATGTTAGATTTTATTTCAATTAAATTTCTCTATATTATTTCAACTTATTCAATGTTTGTTTAAATTAAATTTTCCTTAAATTCATTTTATTTAATCAGATTGTAATCAATACTTTATAAAACCTTATTTAAACCAACCATTTTCACATTGGATTCAAAATCTTCTAAACAATTTGAACAAAGTAATCTCTCATTTTTAATTAAACTTGGATCAAATACAACCATTTGTATTGGTAAGTTGTGATTTCTTGAACATTACAGATCAACATCTTATTCTATCATTATTGATTTAATTAATTTACTCGTATTAATAATAATTAAATATTAATCAAAAAAAAAATATATTTTATAAAGAAAAAATTGAATGTATTAATCAGATCATTTATTATTTAAATATGATTGTTTATATGGATTATTTATATATAACCATTTCCATATATGACATAATATTTTAACTCTTTCTATTTGATTTTAATTTTATCAATTGAAGTTCTGAATTTCTAAATCAATTCAATTTTTCTATTTCATTTCAAAAAAATATTTATCATTATCTCATTTAAAGTAATGCTAAGATAATTAAAGAGAAAAGATAATAAAATAGAGAAAAATAGAAAAAGAACAGAATTACATCTATTTATAAACTAGAAAATTATGTAATTAACAGAAGATAATTGAAATTAAGCTAGAAAAGAGTAATACTCATAACTTTATTATTACAATAAAGTTAAACTAGAAATAAATAAATAAACAAATGAATTTGATATAATTATTAAATAATATAACTATTTGGATAAATAATGATATTTCAATTTGTCATGAAATTTATTTAGATTTCTAAATTTTTAGGTTAGACAACTTTTGAATCAATTAGACAATTTCAGCATCGTTATAATTTAGGTATATAAATAGATTATTGGCAAGAACTTGTAATGCCTGAAAGCGTTTTTTTAGTTCTCTTCTTTCAGCTAGTACTGTTTTTTAATTATTTAGTAATTAAATAAGACTGTTTTGTAACTCAATATATTGTAAAAGCATAACGTTCTTCTATTAAAGTTTTATTTGGATTTAGTACTTCATCACTTTTTCCTTCTTTTTTACATTCTAGTAGTTACATTTCAATTTCTTTTACATTTTAATCCATAACATTTAATTAATCTTCATTATTAACTAATTCACTCATATTCTATTATAATTCTTACACTACATATTGTAATTATTTATAATTGTCTTGTATAATTGCTATATTTTAGATAATTATAAGTAATAATATTTCTCTTATAATTGTTCTATTGATTCATTTATCTCTTTATTATTGTGATCCTCTTTAATTTGATTTATTTTTACACGTTTTGCTTTTGGAAGTGGTTAAATTGCCTAGAATTATAATTATTTATTTTACATTTTTTATTCCTTATTGTTGAAATGAATCTGAAATTGTTTATAGAATTTCTGAATATTGTTATCCAAACTATTATAAATTTTAAGCAATTTTGCAAAAATGTGATTCATAGGTGACTTTCATATCTGAGTATATATTGGGGTCAGAACATTCATTTTTTATTAGATTTTCTAGTTCCACAAAAAAACTATAAGATTAATATCTTTCACATATTTATTTTAACCAATTTTCAATACTTACAATTAACATTTAAAGTTTTTCATGAGTAAAGGTTTGAAGTCTTCTTAAACTTTCTTACAATTATTTCACCAATTCAAAATTATTTTGAACTCTAAATATTTTGTCATTATGATTTTCTTCAATCATCTGGATCACTTTACCTATTCCTATCATTTTTTTATTTGATTCAAAGTTAGCTAAGCATAATGGACATAATAGTCTTTAATTGTTGTTCAAATTTGGATCAAATACAACTATGCATATAGGTTATCGATGTTAACATGAAGAAATGAAATCTTATTCTTTTTCTTTCATTTTTGGTTTAATCATTAAGAATAAGTTTACAAACTCAATTATTAATATTGTTTATTTAATTTTGGAAATTTACTTGAAAACATGATTCTAACTTTAGAGACTAGCTAAGTTTGATTGAAAAAGATATCTACCAACTCAAGCATAATTAGAGATTTAACAATATAATGCATTTCAGAATCAAAGTTTTTTAGGATAAGAACAGATGGAACAATACAAATTATAAATGTCCTCATAAATAAAATAGTTAGATTGAAAAATATATATATATAGCTTTATCACATTTAGTTTAATTTTATAATCTTTTATCATTTNGTAATAATATTTCTCTTATAATTGTTCTATTGATTCATTTATCTCTTTATTATTGTGATCCTCTTTAATTTGATTTATTTTTACACGTTTTGCTTTTGGAAGTGGTTAAATTGCCTAGAATTATAATTATTTATTTTACATTTTTTATTCCTTATTGTTGAAATGAATCTGAAATTGTTTATAGAATTTCTGAATATTGTTATCCAAACTATTATAAATTTTAAGCAATTTTGCAAAAATGTGATTCATAGGTGACTTTCATATCTGAGTATATATTGGGGTCAGAACATTCATTTTTTATTAGATTTTCTAGTTCCACAAAAAAACTATAAGATTAATATCTTTCACATATTTATTTTAACCAATTTTCAATACTTACAATTAACATTTAAAGTTTTTCATGAGTAAAGGTTTGAAGTCTTCTTAAACTTTCTTACAATTATTTCACCAATTCAAAATTATTTTGAACTCTAAATATTTTGTCATTATGATTTTCTTCAATCATCTGGATCACTTTACCTATTCCTATCATTTTTTTATTTGATTCAAAGTTAGCTAAGCATAATGGACATAATAGTCTTTAATTGTTGTTCAAATTTGGATCAAATACAACTATGCATATAGGTTATCGATGTTAACATGAAGAAATGAAATCTTATTCTTTTTCTTTCATTTTTGGTTTAATCATTAAGAATAAGTTTACAAACTCAATTATTAATATTGTTTATTTAATTTTGGAAATTTACTTGAAAACATGATTCTAACTTTAGAGACTAGCTAAGTTTGATTGAAAAAGATATCTACCAACTCAAGCATAATTAGAGATTTAACAATATAATGCATTTCAGAATCAAAGTTTTTTAGGATAAGAACAGATGGAACAATACAAATTATAAATGTCCTCATAAATAAAATAGTTAGATTGAAAAATATATATATATAGCTTTATCACATTTAGTTTAATTTTATAATCTTTTATCATTTACTCACAATCTCTAAATAATTTTAAATGAATATTATGAGATCAAAGGAAAAGAAATTTTCATAAAATGAATAAGAACTTATCATAATATCTATTAATTTTATTTCATAGATTTAGTTATAAATCAAACTTTGATGCAATTAGTTCATAATATTTAGGATGAAACCCATTTTAGATAGTTCTTAGTTGTAATTATTATTTATACATTTTAAAGCTGTTATAACAATTAAACTAATTCAATCTAATTATTCAATATGGAAAAAATGTTATTATAACTCACATTCTCTTATAAAATAAAGTAATTAAAGGTAGAGTGTTTGCTTATTATATTTTAAACATCGCAAAAAATTGAATTTTAATAATTAGTATTTTTGAAACAAATTTTAATATTTTATGATGAAAAAAATTAAATAAATAAATGTTTTATAAGAAATTTTTAATATTTTTCTTCCTTCCATTTCTAATTTAATTTTTAATATTATTACCAAAGTGAATTATAATTTAAATTAGTATTTATTAAAAAATCCTTAAATATACTTTTTAATTTTAAATTCAATAATAATTAAGATTTTGTAATTATCATTGATATTTGGTTGATTATATCATAAACCTTACAAAATTCAATCAAATATTGTTCTAGGAATGATGTATCTAAAAATGATATAATTTCAAAGAAGTATAAATCTGTTTGAGATTTTTAAGAATTTATATTAAAATCAAAAATGTTGGATTTATAGTTTAATAGTCAATTAAATTTTTAAGATATTTAATAATAAAAAAAAGAAAATGTAAATGAAATAATTCAAATATGTAAAAATGAAAAATAACGAAATTGAATAAGACTAACAATGTCAAGCATTTTGTTTTAATAAAGATAACTCAATATTAATATTTGCATTTGATATTCATATAAAAGTGTATGAATTTAAATTTGGATAGTTAAAACAAATATAGCTTTTAAGTGGACATTATAGAGGTGTCTAAACTCTAGATTTTATGAAGATAAATAGATATTAATCTGGTCTTAAAATAGAAGCAGTAAACATTTATATAAATTTGTTGGACATATTTTTGGGCTTTATTGTTTGGTAGTAGGTCAGGATGAAAATCTAATTATATCAGGAGATGGTTATGGCAAACTACATTTTTGGGTGAAGAAGAATGGATGGAAATGTTCATAAATAATAAATGATCATAAAAGTACTGTATATGGATTAAGTTTAAATAATTCATAGGATAAGGTATTAGTAATCTTAAAGTCTGGATAAAATTCACAATGGATTTGAATCTCATAAATAAAAGTCTATAATTATGGAATACGATTATGTTTCATAAATGATAATAAATTCATAATTTAATCTTCTTGTGATAAATATCTTCATATTTACGAAATGGAAGATAAAAAGAAATATTAACAAACTAAAGAAATTGCTGTAAAAGGTAGTTCAGTTTGTGAAGCATCATTTCCATAATTATATATAGAGTCAAAATCTCTTATTTTGAATAAGAATGGTCCTTTTATCAATATTATATGAAAGAATAAAAATAATGAATTTAAAACAGTATAAAGTATAAAGTTTGGAATTCACAAATTATATGGATCAATGAGTAAAGATGGAGAGTATTTGATTACTTGGGATACAATGTCGGCCAAAATTTAAATTATGAAGTGTCATAAAATATGAAACAAATTTAATATATTATTAAATTAGAAAGTAGTATTCCTTCAACATTTAAATATTTCCTTTCAGTTTAAATTTTGAACTTTTATGTTACATTTGAGATATGATCATAATCAAATTCTAAAAATATTCATTTTACAATTATTTACAATTAATATTCTTTTTAATCAAATTGATATTATAAATTATAAACACATACACAAAAGCATCATTTTATATAACACTTTTGTAAGTATCATTTTAAAGATTTTCTTATATTTATTTCTATTGTATTATATTTTTTTGATAGAAAAATGAATATATTTATAAATAAATAAAAATCAAATGATTACTTCTTTAATTTAACTTAAACATCTTTAGTTAAAATCAAGGAAGCTTGACTAGGCTAAACAGATGTTACTAATTAAATATTTTTGAGATAGCCTTGTAAAGAAATTTAAATTTATTGAAATACTCCAGGTTATTGTGTTTCAGTTACTAAGTTTAATGATTAATATTACATTTCTTCTGGAAGTGATCTCAACTTACTTATTGCAACATCAAGTACACTAGCTTCTCCATCAGTATAAAATTAAATAGAAAATCTAAATATCATTTTAAATTATACCCATCATATTCGAAATTTTTGATGATTTGATCATAACACATAGAGAATGCATAGTCATAGTCTGTACCTCCACCTTATTATTTAATGTATTGTGATTAAATTGAAGTATTAATGAATTATTAATCCAAAACCAATCTGGCAGTAGAATTAAATATAATTACAGAAGATTTTGCTTTTGATTATTAGGCTGCTATTAGATTCATCACTCCTATTGCTCCTTATCTTATATTTAGCCATTTTTATCCTTGCATACTTCCTGAATCATCAAGTATAAATATAAAACGATTAGAATCCTAATAAATATTATCATTTTGTGCATTTATTAAATTGATTTTCTTATTAGTTCTTTTTGAAATAGTTTATGATACTATCTTCCCAACTCCTTCATTCCATGCATTTAATTGTAAATTTTTAAATTATTACGATTCTTATGTTTAGGAATTAAATGACCAATTTGTATTCTCTTGTTTGATTTACTCCCATTACTATACTTACCCAAGTCTTTGAACTTTAAAATCATTTTTTATTTCATTGCATGTTTAAATAGATGGACTATTTTCTGAATTAAATTATTTTTATTATACTTATTAAAATCCTATGATTATATTACTAAAATAGATACCTTTTAAAAAATGTCCCTAACAACATTCATGTTTATGATTTAAATCTCTAATATCACGATCACATTTTCTATTACAAAAAAGACATTTTACTAAACATCCAGTCATTTCATATCTTATTTTATTGAATTCAGCTTCTAAATTAAGAAAATTTATTTCAACCTTTAAATCTTATATCTTCTCAAGTTATTCTTTAATCAATAATTCAAAAAAGTAAAGAAAAGCAGGTGCTACTTCAATTTCATCAAATAGAGCATCAGCATTTTCATTTTGACCTTTCACATTTACATCTATCTAATCTGAATTCAATTTTTCCAAATCTTCAAATATACCTTAAAAGTCGTATTTTAAACAATTTATGTATTTTGATTTTTTATTCAAAAAAAAATTAATCAAGATATCAAATACAATTTTTGATTATTCTTATTTCTATTAAGGTGATAACACTCTTTAATTAAAGCACTATTAAACATTGTAGAATTTTTAAAAAGATATTATAGTTTCTTTATTTTTTCCAATAAACTTTCAAGAATAATTTTTATTTCAGATTTGCATTTAATAAATCCACTTTCATTTTTTGTATATACTAATTAATATATTTTTCAATTTATGGAACTTGATTTTTTATGTAATCTAAAATTTTATCAGTTTCTTTAGATTTTAACATAATTTCATCAACAGTTTATAAAATTTCTTTAGTTAGTGGGAATATTAAATTACTTTTTGAATTACTGCTTTAATCTTTCATCCAACTTTTCAACTTTTGATAAGAATTACTCATAATACTAATAATTATTGGATGCATAACTACTACTTATACAAAATATATTTATCAGATTATTTTAAATTATTTTCTAATTCTTTTTCTTAAATCTAAAGTCTTTCATCAAATTTTTCACAAAGACATTACCACAACATAAAAACTGCTTCTTCCAAAAAATCAGCACCATTCTCTGATAATCCAATCATAATTAAAATCTCTTCAAAATATTGAATTAAAATCTAACAATGATTAATAATTAACTTAATTAAATCAATATCCATTTAAGTCAACTCTTCAATTTATTAAGTTTCAATTAAATAAATTTCAAATTAAAAATCTCTATAAAATTTTTTCTCCTTACCTTACATTATAAACTTTCAAAATATGATTTTCAATTACTTCATAAATCTTCGTTATCAAATTTTCAAAAGCCTATTTATTCAACAAAAATTTCTCAAGCTCTTTTTTAATCTTCTCAAGAATTGCCATATTTATGTCTGTTTTGCCATCCTTAATGAATTAACCCAATTAAATGAATTCTTATTCTGGTAAAATTTATTCATGACCATATAACATAAAATCATTAGGATTAAGAGAAAACTAACATTTTTCATCTACNATCAATAATTCAAAAAAGTAAAGAAAAGCAGGTGCTACTTCAATTTCATCAAATAGAGCATCAGCATTTTCATTTTGACCTTTCACATTTACATCTATCTAATCTGAATTCAATTTTTCCAAATCTTCAAATATACCTTAAAAGTCGTATTTTAAACAATTTATGTATTTTGATTTTTTATTCAAAAAAAAATTAATCAAGATATCAAATACAATTTTTGATTATTCTTATTTCTATTAAGGTGATAACACTCTTTAATTAAAGCACTATTAAACATTGTAGAATTTTTAAAAAGATATTATAGTTTCTTTATTTTTTCCAATAAACTTTCAAGAATAATTTTTATTTCAGATTTGCATTTAATAAATCCACTTTCATTTTTTGTATATACTAATTAATATATTTTTCAATTTATGGAACTTGATTTTTTATGTAATCTAAAATTTTATCAGTTTCTTTAGATTTTAACATAATTTCATCAACAGTTTATAAAATTTCTTTAGTTAGTGGGAATATTAAATTACTTTTTGAATTACTGCTTTAATCTTTCATCCAACTTTTCAACTTTTGATAAGAATTACTCATAATACTAATAATTATTGGATGCATAACTACTACTTATACAAAATATATTTATCAGATTATTTTAAATTATTTTCTAATTCTTTTTCTTAAATCTAAAGTCTTTCATCAAATTTTTCACAAAGACATTACCACAACATAAAAACTGCTTCTTCCAAAAAATCAGCACCATTCTCTGATAATCCAATCATAATTAAAATCTCTTCAAAATATTGAATTAAAATCTAACAATGATTAATAATTAACTTAATTAAATCAATATCCATTTAAGTCAACTCTTCAATTTATTAAGTTTCAATTAAATAAATTTCAAATTAAAAATCTCTATAAAATTTTTTCTCCTTACCTTACATTATAAACTTTCAAAATATGATTTTCAATTACTTCATAAATCTTCGTTATCAAATTTTCAAAAGCCTATTTATTCAACAAAAATTTCTCAAGCTCTTTTTTAATCTTCTCAAGAATTGCCATATTTATGTCTGTTTTGCCATCCTTAATGAATTAACCCAATTAAATGAATTCTTATTCTGGTAAAATTTATTCATGACCATATAACATAAAATCATTAGGATTAAGAGAAAACTAACATTTTTCATCTACACATTTCCTATTCTGCTATTCTTAAGAAATTTTCATTCCTGGATAATACATTGAACACAACTCATAAAAAGCTAGGTCACTTTTCTAATGAGATGCATTTTAATATGATAATGAATTACACAGATTTTAATAACTTTACTGTATCTATTAATTTTATTCTAATTCTTTATATAGTATTCAATTTTGAATAATGAATCTATTTAAAATATTTCAGAGGATTGAATCTTAATTGATTTATCATTAAGTAACATTTAACATTAATTTTAGTATCTTCTACTTTCATCAATAATTTTGACAAAATCACGAATATTTTTACTTGAATTTTCATTTATCAAATTATGTAATTATTATGATTAAAGTGGCTCTGTTGATATTTTGTTTTAAAAATATTTATTTTTGATTTACTACTTCCTAAATAAGTTAAAGTTAGAATTGATTTAATTATAAAGTATTTTAATTGATACTAATTATTATTTTCTTTTATTCTAATATATTTGTTAGATGAAGGTTTGCTTTTTTCAAAATATTCCATTTTTAATTTCCCACTTTTTCACTCTGGCTAGTTACTCAAGTCCAGCTTCTATTGTCTTGACTAAGATATCATCAAATGAGGGTTCTTTTTTCTATTTTGATTATAATAAAGCAACATAAAAATGAAGTTTTTTTATGTTAATGTTGTTTTTATAAAGATGAACACATAATGGTATTTCTGAGTGAAAATTATTGAGGTTTGATATATTACGAATAAGGAGATTGAAATAATTTTTATTGAGTAAAGTCATTTGAAAATGCTTATGCCAAAAGTTATTATTGTTATTTATTTATGTCTATTGATTTCTCTATTACAGAACAATGTTATTGATATTAATTAAATAAAAATGTAGTTTTAAAGAATAGACCTTAACACTACTTTGTTGTGGAGTAATATTTCTAAAGTTAAACTGATGAGATTTCTTAAAGTTTTTTATTTTCCTATACATCTTAATCTATAGAATAATGTATAAAATGCAAAATCAAATGCTTAAGATTGTTGTTTTCAAGCTAGATTTAATTAGGGTTTAAATTTGAATATGTTTATACGATTGATTACCAAGATTTTTCATAAGCTTTTTATGGAACAAATATTTAATTATTGGCTCTAATAAAGTAATGAAGGTCAGAACGATCTGTATTTTCATAAAATATTTTAAAAGTTGAAACAATTGGGTCCTCTTTTAAGCATTCATTTGGAACCTTTAATAGATTATCAAATATCTTAAAATAGTTTTTATCAGAGGAAACACATGATGAGTTACTTCTTATATATTATTTTACAAAATTTGACAACTATGATATAACATTTTTTTAGGACAAAATTTTTTAACATATTCCCAATCATCATTTTTGAAATCTTGTATTTCATCTGGATGTGTAAAATTTTAAAATTATTTCAATTTTATTTATTAAAATAAAGTAATTTTATATTAATTAATTTTAAAATGTTTTATTGAGAATAGAATTAAAAGTAAGTGTTTTGTCTGATACTTTTAAAATTTTTCTTTCAGATTACTAACTTAAAAATATTTCAAAAATAGTAATGAGATTAAATTTGTAATACTATCTTAACTTGATTAATATGTAGTTAATATTATTTCATTTCGTATCTAACTTTTATTCTATTACATCTGATTTTCAATATTCTTATCTCTTGTAATTTCTTAATGATTTTATTGTTCGATAAGATCGTGTGTCTGTAATAATCCAATAGTTGTGTAGAGAGATGCATAGCTTTATTATAATAAATTAAATTTTTTTCTTAAGTAACGCATAATTTAGGAAATAAAGCTCTAGTTAATCACTTATTTGTGAATTGATAGCTTAATTCAAATATCCATTCTATTTTTTATTTTTTATTTGAAAAATTTAGTTCATAATTTTACACCATTTCTATTTATTTCTAATTCTATTACTAAATATTTTTATTTTAAATAATAGAATTATAATAAATAATACTCTTTTAGAATAATTTTTGATTAATGTTTTTAGTAAATTTCTTCATTCATCAGTAGGTAATAATAAGATTAATGTGAGAACAATTATGAAGCTATTAGTATTCAAAAGTAAACTGTTTTTGAGTTTGAATCTAAATTTATCAATCAACAATGAAATTATTAATTATTTTAACATTCTTTTGAAATATTTCAAAAATGAATAAGGCAATTAAAATAATAATTAAAATGTTCACTTAAAATTATCATTTCAAATCAATATAATACAAACTCCAAAAACATTCCATTTCTGCCTTTCTTTTATCTTACATAAATAACCACTATTAACTTTCTTTCAAATATTATGATTATACTATCAATTCTACATACATTCTAATAAAACCCTACAAGAAATAAATTTTGTAAAAATACTTTTAATTGGTTTAATTTGATATTTTCACCTCAAAAATAAAGATCTACTAATAGATGATCATTAGGAATAAAATTGAAATTTAAACAATAAATTTAACTATATCAATAAGTTAAAATTCATTAACCACTACTCAATATAGTTAATTTTCAAGATATATTCACTAAGGCTAATTTCTTTCTTTGGGATCAGCAAAGAAATAAAACATTATTGAATTAACAAAAATAACATTTAGTATTTATTTAATTCATTTTATTTTTTTTAATTCTTTTATACTCCATTCAATCAAATCCTAATAAGATTGAATCTCATTAGCCTATTCCTTATTTATAATTAAATTCTTCGTATGTGAATCTTTTAAATTTTTTAATGATTACAAATTCTATTTTATAGAGTCTATCTACTAAGGATCAACACGAAAAGGATTATGATTACCATTAATTATATTTAAGAAAGGATTTTCTGTTGTCATATATTTTTATTAAAACTTAAAGGGATTTTAGAAACAAAATTTATAAGTATAGTCTTACATAAATTAATCATTTGGGTCGATGAGATAATATTTAGCCCTTAATATATTTATTTAAGTTTCAAATTCTTCAAAAATTTCAGTATGCATAATATTATTTTTAAATTCTTCAAAAGATTTTAATGATTCAATAGCTCTCCTGACTTAATCCTAACTGAGTTTAAAAAGTTTATCTTTTTGAATTATGTATTTATAACTAATTTCTTTTCCTAATTATTCAAAAGAGTTCTATATTTAATCCATTAATGAGCATAAAAACTTTAGCAGCTCCTAGCATTAGTGAGAAATGTATTGAAGGAAATTTGGCAGATTTAAGACATTTTGGTTATGCTAATTATGAATTTCTCTTATGCATTCAGAACAAGCAAGTG